CTAAGTATGGAGAGGGAGTTGGTTCGTTTTTTCAGAAAATCAGGAGGAAAAGATTTCAAAATTTTAGAATAAAGCAATATTTAAAAAATTTATGGAATGTATGTTGTAAACTTGTAGAGCTTAACAGTTTCATTTAAAAATACTCTGATCCAACAAAACATAAAAACAACCGTTATTTGTTAGGCGGGTTGTTATTTCAAAGTTATGTTAATATACATATCCACCATGGACTAACCAGAGCGAGATGCGTTTGGTTTCTTTAATTTTAATTCTATTGCGTTTTGGTAAATAATTTATAATCTTTAAATTACTGCCTTTTTCTTTTTTATCAAACGCATGTACTGACAAAAAAGGTAAAATAGAAAAAAAAAGGGGAAAATGTATGCTTACTAGGTCAAATTGGGATCGAAATTCATAGCTTGCTGGAACAAGGACGGAACTTTTAACTGCGCTTGTATCATGTTTCTTGTTTTCTGTGTACAACTGTAAGATGTGAAAACATGAGATTTGTCAGTTACTGAAGTAAAAAGCTTTGTGTTTTTTTTTCTATTTAAAACTTCATCAATACTTGGTTTTCATATTTCCTGTCAATTTGGACAATTCTTTAAACTGACGACAAAGACGAATGTATTTGAAGACCAGAAGAAAAGATTAAAGTTAAAGGATTATAATTAAATATTAAAATCCTATCATTAATCTTGTAAAGATACCTTTTCCCATGAAATCATGAAACAAAGAACCCATTCAATATATTTGACGAGTTAAGAACTGAGATTATTCTGAAAATACGGTTTTTTTTAGATAGTTGTGATGTACTTCTTTATACTCTAGAGATAGTTGTCATGTACTTCTTTATACTCTAGAGATAGTTGTCATGTACTTCTTTATACTCTAGAGATAGTTGTCATGTACTTCTTTATACTCTAGAGANATATACTTGGATTTTGAATTTGAATATTTACTTCCCACACTTAACACTGTGAACACTATTCATTAATTTAAAGCTTTGAAGCTTAAAAAGCAATTTTTAAAATTGTTTTGGGAACTGTAAACCTTCAAAACTATTATTAACTGTAAACCTTCAAAACTATTATTAACTAATCTTTTAAAAAAATGTCGCTTATTTATATAAATATGTTGTACTTTTTCCTAGTATTTTAACACTTTACAAATACAATAGCCAACTGATATCTATGTACACTGTACAACAGATATCATATGTACACTGTACAGTGCCAAATAACTAAGTTTACTGCTGTACGTAAATAGAAGGTAAATTAATCAATTAATCAGCTAATTCATCCATCCTTCCACATATTCCTGGACACAGATTATTGCTTCAAATATAGATGACTTCCACAAGATAGCACTAAGTTTTCTTGAATACTCTAACCTAAATGTATACAACTTTTGTAAAGAAATCAGGTACAGAGCGTCCCATAAAATATTGGATTATCTCCAAGCTATAACTCCAAAATACGCACAGAATACTCGAAAATTATTTCCTGTAAAAAAACTTTTTATCAGGCTTATACAATTTTTCAATTGATTCATCTATATATAAATTTGGCTTGTCTGCCTGTTTGTCTGTCTGTCTGTCTGTCTGTCTGTTTGTGTCCAATAAACGTCAAAACGGCTGAACCGATCGGGCCCAAATTTGTTGTGGGACATCAAGGGACCCCAGGGAAGGTTTATGTATGATTGAAATTTTAGATATTTGTCTCCATCAAAATTCGATCGTCATTAAATTTTTTAAAATTTTGAAAATCCACGAAATTTTTTGTGAAAATCCGCGAATTATTTTTGTTTTGTTTTACGATGTACACAAAGAGAACATGTTCACAATTAATTTAGAAGATGGGCGCGAAGCGCCCTCTAAGGCTAGTTCTTCTTAAATTTTAACATTGGTCCCGAAAATCGTAATTTAGAGTCATTAACGATCTAATATGATATGGGACACCCTGTAAGCGTAGAAAAACAATTCGGAGAAAAATATTCAAAATTGTCTTATTTTCAAAATCTGCCCATTCTGCCTTTGCTTTTTTTCAGAATCTTCATTCAGATTTTACACAGTATACATGATAATCATTTTAAAAAGAAAACAATTATTTGGATTTTGTTTCTTGTTATCTACATCTTTCCTCAAATACTGCATATAGATTACTACCACAAGATATCACTAAGTTTTCTTGTTTATACTCTAACCTAAATATGTTCAACTTCTGTAAAAAATCATCAGGTACAGAGCGTCCAATATAATATAATTTTGTTTCTTGTCACCTACATCTTTCCTCAAATACTGCATATGTGTGCAAATTTTATGTTTTTTCAAGTTGTGAAATCTATTCTAAACCTATGAAGCACTTTTGATACATCATACATACATCATAATTTGAACAATACCAATTGAAATAAAGTGTTCTTTTTCTAACAATCATATGTAACGCCTAACAATAACATTTGTTGCAATTATCCAACAATCACTTTTCCTAATATACTTAACCAGCTTTTATCAAGACTTTTAAACTAGTATTAAAGGGAGTGTTTGCATAATTTCAAGAGACCCTCCATGTCCTTCCTATACATAGTGGTGCCCTTTAATACTTTGTATGACCAAAAATGATGATTTCTTTACTCAAAATGGATTCTTTTTAATTTCTTTTTCCCATATAAGTGATATCAGAAGCTAATCACTTGCCCTGGTAGAAAATCGACGATATCCTCTACATTATTATCTTTAAATGGTAAAAGAAAATTTTCATTAGATCCTAAACCTATGTTCTTCGAACCATTAAAATTATTCTCTTTGATAAGTTTTAACAATCTTAATTTCGTAAGAAGTTTGAATGGATTTAAAGATTTTATTTTAATTTTTGTAGGAAACGGATTTTCCGGCTTTTCCTTTCTGAGAATTGATATTTAAGAAGAGTTTAACAAGACAAATATTCTCTTAAAGACAGAATAATAAGAATTTAAAATGAGGGAAATAATGATGTGAAAATGTCCTTTTTTAATCTTTTAAACATCAAAGAGTGAGTCAGAGTGAGTCTAGACGCAATGTAACAGAAACATAGAAGCTAAGATAAGCTGTCGATTAAAAAAGCTTCTCTTTGATTACTTGTAAACTTGTAATTCGAAAAATGATTGCAAGCAATCAAACATTAATGAATAATTATTCAAAGTTATAAATCTTAACTTTGCTCACTTTGAATTACTTTTTTGTCGTGGTTTTGGCAGTTTACAGTCTCAAACATTATATTTCATCATTTAATTGAACACTCGACTCAGACTAAATAATTTTTTCTACTCTCTATATATTTACAACCTGTTGGTGAAAAAAAAAATTTGTTTTAAACCTAGACATATATTTGATTTTAAAGAACTCATAGTTATTTAATTATAACAGGAAGGCCAGAACTTTAAAATTTAAAATTAGAGGTTGAGAAGTGTAAACAGATAATTTTTTTACGGATTAAATGTTTAAATTTTTACGCATTTTTATTACTCTCACAACTAGTCCAAATGACGCTTTTTTATTTACATTTAAAGATAAGAGTTTCAAGTTCATCTGTTTAAGTATAATATAGTTTATAGAATATTTCAACATGCATTATTTACTTTAAACATTTAAATAATTCCAAAATAATGAAATATTCAGTTTTTTGTTTTTAGTATTTCACCATGCATTCAGGACTTTATTGCATTGATTCAAGAATTAACATTTCTAAAATAAACTCCTTCAAATCATGCGCAGGTAAAAAAAACTTATAAACATCTAAACATCTAAACAGACATATAAACAACTATAGACAACCAGACAGATTAACAATCTAACACACAATTAGACATCTATCAAAAGACAACGCTCCACTATTAAAAGCTGAACTTATAAAGACAAATAGACAACTAAATAATTAGACAGATAGACAGATATCAAGATAGACAACTTGAAAGATAGAAAGATAGACATATAGACAGATAGGCAGATAGACTAAAGGCAACTAGACATAAAGGCAGATAAAAAAACAGAAAATTATAATGATATACAAGTGGACAGATAGACAAGAAGGCATATAGACAAGTAGAAATATAGACAAGGAGGCATATATACAAGGAGACATATAGACAAGGAGACATATAGACAAGGAGACATATAGACAAGGAGACATATAGACAAGCAGGCATATAGACAAGTAGACATATAGACAAGTAGCAAAATAGACAAGTAGCAAAATAGACACTTAGACAACTAGAAAGACAGGTAGACACATCAACTGCTGTCTGTCTATGACATTATAAATATTTGGTTTAGTTTTGTGAATAGAAAAACAAACACAACTGCACTTAAACCAATCCTAAACACTTATACTGTGAATTATCTAGAGTAAAGGGTTACAGGCATTCCGGTAATCCATTTCAAGTTTACACCAGAGTGCAGGGGTTTATGTAAGGTAACACTATATTGGATATACAGGATTATCCACAAAGGACGACACTGTATGACAGAATAATAATCATTTTCAAATAGTTTACAGGGAAGTTACAGGAATTTTATTTTACCAAGGGTTCCCAAGACCGATGGTGTCTACAAAGCATCCAGAGAGCAGATCTGCTATGTAATGAAAATGCGCAAATTTTTACACAATAACTTCCCAGAGTGGGGGGGTTATTTTAATTAATTGTCCCAAGGGACCTTAAGTTACTTAACCTCCCTCTGTTGATAGAATCATAGGTCGGTAATGTTGGTCAACAGGCGGTTAACTATATTTGTCAAGTCAGAAAAACGTCATTATCTTTCTCTTTGGTGAGATTAAGGTTTAAAGGGTACCGTTGATAATCTAGCATGCCACATGTCACTCTTTACTCTACATTACACGGATACTATTGTTATATAGGGTTTTTAGTAAACCTACAAGTTAATCGTGATTTTTAGTAAACCTACAAGTTAATCGTGATTTTTAGTAAACCTACAAGTTAAGCGTGATTTTTAGTAAACCTACAAGTTAATCGTGATTTTTAGTAAACCTACAAGTTAATCGTGATTTTTAGTAAACCTACAAGTTAATCGTGATTTTTAGTAAACCTACACGTTAATCGTGATTTTTAGTAAACCTACAAGTAAATTGTGATTTAAAAAGAATATAATTCAACTTGTTTGTTTTGGTTAAAAGTTAAATCTAAGAATGGTGGTTGGTGGGTGGGGATTTTACGGTCAGAAGCGTGTGAATGTTTTAGCGGGTTATTTTCTATTTATTTACTGATCTTTAAACAGGGGGGAATACTTCCTGCACACAAAAAATACCCCTTTATAATAATGAACAATTTTATATTAAAATTTTTTTTTTAATTTAATGTTTTTTATCTCTGACCTAATATCCCTAAGTCCTCTAAGTTCCCCTAAAAACTGATTAAAAATGCAAAAACGTCGACATCCATTAGATCTCTGATTAATTCCTAGTGAAAACCCCCGTAGCCCCGTTCCCGCCAAAAATGCGTTGTGACGCCGCGTCACTTGACGCAGAAAAGCGTCAGTACATTCCCCCGTACTTTGACGCATGCGTAGCTGTTGAAGTTACGCCGGTACTTTGATGGAAAAGAAAGGATGACGGAAGGAACGTATCAGGACGGATTAAGGGTTTGATATCCGCGCTCTCTCTGTCTAGGTTTCACGGCTCTCTCTCTCAGCTCTCCAACAATACCCGGAGTAAGTTCTAGAATCCGTTTCAGAATAACCCCGTACGCGGAGCTGGCAACACGTTCAAATCAAACCCTCCGTCAACTACAGAGCTAATGAACCTGTTGTGAAAATTAAACACAAGATGGCAATAGTGTTTAGCAAACCTAGATATGAGAGAAGGAGAAGAAGAAGAGAGGAAATTCATATTCCAAGAGCTCAACAGGTAAAATAATTCTTTTTATATTTTTTAGTTATTTCAACACTTATCAAATATTTTCCAACCTAAAGATAGAATATGATGTTAAACTAATCTGTGTTTTTGTTACAGATTGGTTTTGAGGATCTAAACCCTGAATCCCAGCAGCAAATCTTGGACCTAGTGGAAATATACAGATGTATTCTAAGCCTAGAGAATACAGAGGACCAGATTAGTGATACCCAGGATACAGTGAGAACCAGTATCCCTGCACCGCAACCTGTCAAGGTGGAAGGATTGAAGAACAATTGTGAAACTGTTGAGACCAAATACGATGTGCTTGATCATGATGAATCTGTGAATGATGCAGATGATGAGGATGAGGATGATGTTGTAGATCCTGTAGATAAAGAGCTTGCTATATCAGGGTGCTGTGTTGAGAATATTGACTTCTCAGTTCCTGACGTGATACCCAACCATGATCTCAGAACCCGGAACCCACTTCCGGATCTCATTCCCAGATCTCAACTGAGAACCTTGAACCTAAGATCTCTCCGTCCCTCCAGGTTCCAGATTCAGGACTGGAGCAGACAGGAGGGAGGAGGAGGAGGAGGAGGAGGAGGAGGAGAAGAGACACGTCCTCCAACAGACTGGAGACTATACGGTCGTCAACTAGATCTCATCTCATCAAACTTCACCATGGGTCGTGGACCACCAGACCCTCGTGGACCTCTAGAGGGAGATGACCTAGATGGTGGTCATGACCTTGATGTACGTAGAGGAAGATCGGATAGAAAATTTTTCACAGATTTCGCCCTGTCAGTTGTAGCAAATACTGTTGTATATTTATGCATAAGAAAACTAAAAAGATTGATATTTTAAAATAAAAATTGTAAAAATATTTGTTTCTCTGCAGTAACAAAATTAAGTATGAGAGTAAGAGATAGTGTATTATTTTGCAGAGAACAATTCAGAGATTTGAGATTTGAAAGGAAGGGAAAAATAAAGGTTTGAAAGGAAGGGAAAATTAAAGGTTTGAAAAAACTGGAAAAAATAAAGGTTTGAAAAAACTGGGAAAAATAAAGGTTTGAAAAACTGGGAAAAATAAAGGTTTGAAAAAACTGGGAAAAACGCACTTTTTGTTTTTATTTAACAACTGAAAGTTAGACTAAGTTCTGCTAGTGTAGAAGTCGAGAAAGTTAAAGTTTTAAAACTTCCCAACTTGTCTTATTATCTGCATTATAATATATTTTTATGAAGAAGAAAATGTAATGTTTGAACTTGAAAAACATGAAAACTTCATAAATAACAGAGTTTATAAATTCAGTTTTCATTTAACAGAAAGGGTTTGCATAGAAAAGTGGGTTCTTTAATTTTTTAAATATTATTAAAAGGAATTGAGTCTTTACCACAAACTTGTATTTGATAATCCTTTAAACGTTCAACCCTAATGGCGGCGTAAACCTTTGATATTTCAAACTAAGAATTCACACTAAGAAAATCTGGGTTAGGTGCAAAGACTCAATTCCTTGATTTAAAGCATTTTTTCGGGAAAAGTATTAATTCATCAAGTGTCAAATTCACAGCTAACTGTTTTTTAGTAATTCACCTAAAAAACAACTTTCCAAGAAATATTCGATCCTAAAAATCTTTTTCTGATATCGATTTACTTAGGCCTTAAGCGATAATAATGATTTTTGTGTTTTTATTTAGTTTCTAAAATACAAAAGCGAACTTATCGAGGTTGCGCGGTTTTAACAAATAACTCCTTTTTACTTTCGAGGTTTCGCGATTTTTAAACTATTCTTTTCAGCATAATTCTTGCTGTTATTTTTTTATTGATGCAGAAAAATTGATGAACTTTGATATTAGCAATAATTTGGAAAAACAATAATTCAATACACCTCTAACACTTTATCCATCTTCTGTCAGTGTACTGAAGTGTACTGCAGTGTACTGAAGTGTGTACACTGCAGTACACACCTAAAGCTCAGTGTAGGATGAACCCTCCATGCCTAAATATCAATGCCCGATTAACAATAGTACCCTTGAAACCTTAATCTGATTAAACATGTGAGAGATAATGTCGTTTTTTCTGACTCGAAAAGTGTTTTATTTGATAATTTTGCAGAGAAACCGAAAATGAAAATGAATAGTAAAAAGAAACAAAAACATGGGTGTCTAATTCATAATCAGGCATTGCCATCTTTGCATTGAAGGTCACTTGAAATTACACTTACAGTCAATTCAAGTTTGAAATGAGGAAAAGAATGCTCAGAATGTCTTTTGCATTCAAAAATTTGATTAAAATGTTTGTAAATGAGAAATGCTTTTTGTTCAACATAATACGAATATAATGGGAGTCTGGGAGAAATCATCATCATTGGAGTACTATTGGAGACCCCCTTTCATTGGAGATCCCCCTGGACGTCTATTGGAAACCCTATATTTTCATCAGAAACCCCATATTTTTGTTGTAGACCCCATATTTTCATTGGAAACCCCATATTTTTGTTGGAGACCCCATATTTTCATTGGAAACCCCATATTTTTGTTGGAGCCCCATATTTTCATTGGAGAACCCCAGATTTTTGTTGTAGACCCCATATTTTTATTGGAAACCCCAAATTTTTGTTGGAGACAACATATTTTCATTGGAAACCCCATATTTTTGTTGGAGCCCCATATTTTCATTGGAGAACCCCAGATTTTTGTTGTAGACCCCATATTTTTATTGGAAACCCCAAATTTTTGTTGGAGACAACATATTTTCATTGGAGAACCCCAGATTTTTGTTGGAGATCCCATATTTTCATTGGAAACATCATATTTTTGTAGAAGACCCCATATTTTCATTGGAAACCCCATATTTTTTTTGGAGACCCCATATTTTCATTGGAGAACCCCAGATTTTTGTTGGAGATCCCATATTTTCATTGGAAACCCTATATTTTTGTTGGAGCCCATATTTTCATGGGAGAACCCCAGAGTTTCATTGGAGATCAAATCTTTTTGTTGGAGATCCCCAGATTTTGATTGAAGATCCCATCCCTCAGAGGTTTTGTTTTCAAGTCTTTTTTCCATTTTATGAAAAGTCAAGTTCACAGTTAATTTGATTATTTAATGATCCTCCTTGTAGAAGAATACAGACAAAAAACTTATCATGAAATCTTTTCTCGCATTGCTTAAGGATTAAAATAAAAGAAGATTGTGAGATGATCGAGGTTGCGTGGTTTGAACGATTTCAATCTTGTTTCGAGGTTTCGCGATTTTAAACTTTTCTCGTTAAATATCTTGATTTTCAATCGTTTTGGTATTTTCCAAATACAGGGTGTCCCACATCATATTAGACCGAGAACGGGTCTAAATTACGATTTTCGGGACTAATTAGAAAATTTCATTAGAATGAATCATTTTGAAAAATAACATATGGCTTAAATAAGAATTAATGATAAGTTTTTCGAGTATTAAGGGTTTATTTTGGTGTTAAAGATTGGAGATAATCTAATATGATATGGGACGCTCTGTAGGTTGTCAAGTACAATAGATGGCGACAAAGAATGCGTACACTTTCAGTACAGCTGTATTTACGTCATAAGTGTCAACTCAAATTCTGTGTCTGAAAAAAACATAAATAAAAGTAATTATATAAGACTAAAGTGCTAATCTTTTAGTTAAATCAGTGCAATCTTATATATTCTTTTTTTTACACTTCATCATTTAACGTTCTATTGACTTAATAACAGGGTTGAAACTGATTTGGTCCATAGCCCTTTACCATTCTTTACCATTGTAATTGGAAAGTATAACGTTAAAACATATTTAAGAAATGTTTAATGATATTTTCGGGGTAGTGCTCTTGAAAGGTATAATCGAGGATAAACCCCCAGATATGGGGAAAATACAGGCAACAAGAAAAGTTAATTTTCAAATAAAATGTCGTCTTCTCAGAATATTCATTTTTTTACAAATGTCGTATTTTACAATTTTTGGGAACACATAAGAAATAAATAAAAAATTTAAAAATGCTTAAATTTTGAAATCAATGGAAAATCTATGTAGATATATATTATATATTATATACAGGGTGTCCAAACAACATTAGAAAGCTATATATTTCAGATATTTCAAGGCATTCTTTTTATTACAATTACTTCTTTAAGTATGAAGTAAATGAGCCGAAAAATCGATTTCCCGTATTTTTCAAATTTAGATTTTTTACATGTTATTTTCATTTGTTCATACATAGCCTAAAATTGACAAATGTTCGTACATTTTTTAAGTAAGCTGTTGGTCTGATGTTTCTTTGTAAGCCAAAATTTTGGATCTGCAAAATGTTTGTATATATTTGAATTTCGCAAATATGGATGTCTGTGTGATTTGTTTGTATAAATTTGTTTTAACAACAAAAAACGAGAGATTTTTTTTATTTTCAAAATCCATCAAGGTGGGGAAGGAGGGGGGTACTTTAAAGGTATACTATGGACAAGTACTAAGTCAACATTACATTATTATGAATTAAATGCATTTTTTGGTTTTTATTGATTATATTTTTCATTCAGGGGGTAGGCGAAGAACTTGTTTCGTGCCTGGATGCCGTCCACCCCCTGGGACATCCAGATTTAAAGTACAAAAAGAAGAGTAAAGTGTGGCTCAATTCTTTGAAAATTGACGAGACTAATAAAATCCATGTGTCCCCACAGACATTATTAAATCCAGTTTTTCCAAAGAATAAAGCACCTAAATGTAGAATTGAACAAACTCGGTCATCACATGATAAGAAATTTGAAGCAAAAATGTCAATCTATTTTTTAATAAGTTATTAAAAATATTTGTTGTATTTTTATTATTTTTTTTTGTTGTTGTTGTGTATGATGATATAATACAACATAATGATATAATACAACAGGAATCAGGATTCAGGAATCAGGAATTAGGAATCAGGAATTAGGAATCAGGAATCAGGAATCAGGAATCAGGAATCAGGAATCAGAAGATTGCTCGCTCTTATCTTTCTAAAATTATTTATTGGATTTTCAGTTTCTCGCAAATCCCAATATTAAATTTAATATAATTTGTTAAACCTTAGGTCTAACTAAATGATGCATGGTGGGGGTTTTAAAAATGTTTATTGGTAAAAACTTGTTACGGAATATATGGGAGCGTTAAATAAACCTAGCCAGGCAAAATTAGGAGAGTTATGCCCGCCCCCTGATTAAAGTGGAGTTCTTGTTTATTCTTATCATTATCATTATTTCACAAGCCGCTCAGATATTTTCCGACTTTTGTCAAATTAAGACCTCATTCTAGAATCTGTGAAACAATGTACCACTCTAAAACAAAGGTAACTCCCTGACAGGGGCGTACTGAAGGTTTACTAGCCTAGGGGGGTGAAACAGTATTAAGAAAAAAAGTTTTTTAATTTTAAAATTTTAAACTCAAATTTAACCATGGAAAAACTTTAAGAGACAGGGGGGGGGGGTCCCACGCCCCACTTAGAAAAGACCTTAAAGTAATAGTTCGGGTGCTAGGGGGTTTTTAAAAAAGCAAAGAAAAAGTCTGGAAAATAATTGTTTTTGTTTTTAACAAATAATATGATGTGAAATATGCTTATTGGCCCATTTTTAAATGGCTTTTCAAAAATGTAATTTTTAGATATGTTGCTTAAATAACAAAAAGGTTATGGGCTATTTTAGATTATTTTACACGTTTTGAAAAAATACTTTTTCTTAAAAGTCAAAAAATGTCAATAGGTCATCATCATTGGAGT